ACATAGAGGAATGTAAGAAACTTTTCCCTTGCTTGACAAGCTAAGAGTGAATGATTTTATCTTGTTTTGTGATTTTTATATTGCCTGAAAAGTTAGAAAAAGATCCCTTCTACATACATACATACATACATACATACATACATACATACATACATACCGTGTTTTCCCGAAAATAAGACACTGTCTTATATTTATTTTTTCTCAAGAAGACACACTAGGGCTTATACCACAAATGCATAGAAATCCTGCTAGGGCTTATTTTTGGGGTAGGTCTTATTTTTGGGGAAACAGGGTAGTAAGTGATTAAGAAAAGATATTGGAACTTGTGTGAATGTTCCTGCCTTCACCAACTTAAGGATCAAGACGCTTATGCTTTTTTTATTTTAAGCAGAAACTGCCAAGAAATCTCTCTCCTCACTTTTAAAGACCTGTCTGTATAACAGCTACTTTTTTGTGAAAAACTATTGTTTTTCTATTGTTTATATTTATCCAAAGTTACCTCATCCCTGTTGCCTATTCACCTTCTAAGCCCTAAACCTGATACTTACCTGACCTTTCCCCCTCAAAAGTGAAATAAAACAGTCTTAGGTTTGAATTACTATCAGCCTCTCATGTGCCATCATCAAACATAGACAAAAAAGTTTTTAGTTGGTCCCCCTGGAGCTGACTGTGGTAAAATTCAGACTTAAACTGAAGAAAGTTGGGAAAACCACTAGGCCATTCAGGTTTGACCCTGATGAATATACAGTGGAGGTGAAGAATAGATAGAGTGCTTGAATAACTATGGACAGAGGTTCATGACATTGTACAGGAGGCAGCAATCAGCACCATCCCAAAGAAAAAATGCAAGAAAGCAAAGTGGCTGTCTGATAAGGCTTTACAAATAGCAGAGGAAAGAAGGAAAGCAAAAGGCAAAGGTGAAAAGGAAAGTGGAAGCAGTGACAGACTTCACGTTCCTGGGATCCAAGATCACTGCAGATGGTGACTGCAGCCATGAAATTAAAAGATCCCTGCTCCTTGGGAGGAAAGTGATGGCAAACCTAGACAGCATAATAAAAAGTAGAGACATCACCCTGCCAACAAAAGTCCATATGGTTAAAGCAATGGTATTTCCAGTAGTAATGTATGGCTGCGAGAGTTGAACTATAAGGAAGGCCGAGCGCCGAAGAATAGATTCTTTTGAATTATGGTGCTGGAGAAGACTCTTGAGAGTCCCTTGGACTGCCAGGAGATCAAATCAGTCAATCCTAAAAGAAATCAACCCTAATTATAACCTGGAAGGCCAGATACTGAAACTGAAGCTCAAATACTTTGGCCACCAAATGAGAAGAGAGCACTCACTGGAGAAGACCCTGATGCTGGGAAAGATTGAAGGTTAAAGAAGGGGATGGCAAAGGATGAGATGGTTAGTCAGTGTTATTGATGCAACGAACATGAAATTAAGCAATCTCCGGAGCATGACAGAAGACAGGAGGGCCTGGCGTGATGTGGTCCATGGGGTTGCGAAGAGTCAGACTCGACTGTGCAACTGAACAACAACCTGTTCCCTAGGCTGAGTCAGAATATATCTATCCACATTTAAACAACAGACTGAGAAACAAAAGAAAAATGGGCTGCTCAGCAAAGAAAAAGATAAAGGGAACAAAAGGGAAAACATAATACCCATACACAAAATCTTATGTTTGCTTGATCCTAGGGATAGATTTGTGACTCCTCTTTTCCTAGGGTTAAATATTTCCCCCATGTAAATACTGCACTGCTTAGATTAATATTGGGCACATTGATATGATTGCAAGGTTTTATAAATTTATCTGCTCTTCGATTTTACTTCCATCCCCATCTTGCAGCAAGATTCTTTGGTGTGCCTGACACCATAAATCTTGTATTTGTAAGCATTTTGCTGCTTACCCCATTCTCAGTTGATAGGAGGTACAATGGTTTACTCCTTACTTATCAATTTTTAAATGTTTTTGAGAATTGATAATGGATGTCTTGTTGGTAGGGAGAAAGGAAACATTGCTGCCTTAAAATAAAAATCTGCAGCCTCTTTCTTAATTTCTGAATTCTAGTCCAACACACAGAACTTTTCTGCTATTGCTATGTTGCTGCTCCCATAAGCCTGTGTTCTGAAAAGCTTCTATGACGATTTCACCCTCCCTCACAGGATTTCCCTTTATATTGTTCTTAGCTGAGCAGCCCCTTTTCGTTCTTCTTTGTTTTTCTCTGGCAGTCCCACCCAGTCATTTGAATGTATATTGGTAAATGCTGCCCCCGCATACGAACTGAGGGGAAATGGTCAGATAGGAATCAGGTGTAGGATTTATGAGGTGAACAGACAATAGGAATGAGGGGTTTTTGTATAAAAATAAACACCAGATAATTTGTCACAAACAAGTAACAGTTTGTTATGCAAGCAGGCCTCTAAAACTTGAGGACAGAGATTTCTTGGCAGTCTCTGCTTACATAAACAAGCATAAGCTTTTTAGTCTCACAGATACTTAAGTTGGTGAAGGCAGGACTGTTCATACAAGTTCCAGTTTCCTTCCTTATACATTGGCTAGGGATCATCCCCTTCTAGGAGCTATTTCCCTCAGTCTTGATAGGAATGGGATACTTGCCCCACTTCCCTAACTCAGGATCCTTCTTGATCCTCTCACAGTCTGTTAACTGTCAGTGCCTCACTGGGTCTGCTTTGGTCTTTCACTGTTAACTGTCAGTGCCTCACTGCACTCTCAACTGAAGAATTCCATTTGAATCCCCGGCCACTCAAGGTTCTCAGACCAGGTTATAGCATTATTTATTTATTTTATTTAATGAGATTCCCGTCACAACTTCCCTGAGTTCTATGTTTCTACAAAGTTTATTCCTAGTAGGAGCATACTACCTATTCCTAGTTTCACAGTTCCCCTAACTTAAGTGAATGTGTTTTGTTTTTGTGTCCCTCAGCATATGGACATGAGCAAGTGAAACTGGCACTCATCATATTCCTGGTAAGAATGTGTGAACCTTTAAGGATGAGTTATAAGAGCCGCATGTAGGTTGGGGGGGTGAGTGTGGGACAGAAGATATAAATGGTAGTGGGATGACCTTCTGTGTACAGGGTTTAGTTGAAATTATGGGTAGCCCTGGGGTGGAAGCTTGCATAACCAGTAGTGACTTAAAAATTAAGGCGGATTACTGGTGCTCAGGTTAATGAAGAGAGAGAACCTGGTTGCTCTTCTTCAGTTTTCTTGTTGTGTGCATGGTCTAGGTGCCATCTCTTAATCCCTACTTCCTTAATTTGAGCCAGGCTTGGCCAAAGGACCTCTTTCAGTGTTAGGGCATAACTCTGGAACATATGAAGTAGTGACAGTAATATGAGCAACTGAGAACATTTGTAGAGGAAGGTCTGAAGGAGATCATAATGCACTGGTAAGAACAGGATCCCCTCCCCTTTGCTGGCACATTCAGGTCTTTCTGTCTTTCCAAACTGGTTTCTAAATTGTGTAACAATTATTTGCATCATTGGTCATGACTACACTGACCTTGAGAGACTTTCATACAGGAACTGGGCTTGTGGTGATGAGGGGCATTGTAACAGGTCACCCCTTAGTCCCTGTGTGTTGACACTTGGCCCATTTCTTCCTGCAGTTCTGTCAGCTTGGAAATTTCTCAATTCACATTGCTCTGCGGAACCTGCGCCCTGCTGGTGAGTAGAGAATAGGATGAAACAAAGAGCCTCTTAGGGCTTAAATTGAAGTTCAGGTAATTAGCATGATGGCCTTACAAGATGGTTCTGAAGGAACTTCTAGCAAGAGCTGCCATTGGGCCATGGCAGGTGAGACCAACTTCAGGTTACGTTTTGCCTTCAGGCAGGGATTTGAGCCCATCTGAAAATACTGTTTAACAGAAAATCCAGATTCTGCATAGAAGTATCCCATTTGCCTAATTCATTCCTGTAATGTTTGGGATTTGCGGACTCCAGAACTCTTCCCCTTTTGTTGGTGGAAGGGGGAGAAGACTTTGAGTAAGAAAGAGCAGTAGGAGGTTTGCTAAAGATGCTAGAACACAAGCTGAATGGAAGAGCAACCATGATGAGACATATAGGCTACAGAAGCATCACCTGGACCCCACTCAGTTCCTGTGGCTTTTATAAGTAATACTCCATTGCCCCCAGTCCCTCCAGCTTTTCCTGGGACTGTTGAAGTCCACTGTCAAGCCTGCCCTGGGCTCCGGGGGCAGACCCTCCCGTGGCCGTGATGTCTAAAGGTGGGGGAGGTCCGATGGCTCTGGGAGACAAGGGTTGTAAAGAAGAGAGGGAGCGTTGGGGCTTCAGATAGGTAGGGGATGGAGTTGAACACCACTCCGCAAGTCCCTCTACCTCCGTGCTTCGGTTCCCCAGCCTCTCAGCGTCCTCCCTGGACTCCTTCTTGCTCTCTCTGCATCCAGTGGTTCCGAGCACGTCCTTCCTCCCCGGCCCCTTCGCTTCCCTCTCCTTTATACCCAGCTCCCTCGCCCAGCTCCGTCTCCCGTCCCCGCCTCATTCCTCCCAGCCCCGCCCCCCCTGATAAGCTCTGACGCCTTCCCCGCGGCCCGGGTGTGGTCGTAGCTACGCTGGTGGTGTGGCCCCAGGCCGCCAAGACTTGGCGGCCTGGGGCTGCGCCACCAGCTCCGGCATGTAGGGTTTCGTGAGGTCGTGGGGCCACCGTCAGAATCTCCCCGGTGCCGTCGGCCTCTCCTGCTGCTCCCCGCGGCTCCGTGGTCGGGCGGGGTCAGACTATTGTGTCCCTGACGGGGCTCGGTGAGGCAGGGTCTTCTCGGTCTGCCGGTTCCCTGGGTGAGTTGGTGGTCGTTGGGGTCTCTGGGGGTGTAGGTTAAGTCCCGGGATCCCTGAACCAGGACATCCACATTAACTTTCGTCTGGATTTTATATGCTTGCCTGTGTACACACAATTATACATTTGTTGAAGGGACCCTAGAAGTCTAACAGTGTTTTTGTACCAGAAAATTTTTATCAAAAGCATCTGTGGTCAGATATAAGCTTTTGTGATATTCAGCTAGAATTTCTGAGTAGGTGCCAAACCTGATTAAGTTCCAGTGTAGTGCTCCGGTGTTCCATGGCCCACCTCTGGTAATTTCTTGTGATATACACAGTTGGAATGCAAGTACTCTGTAAAGACATCTGTAGAAACCTCCAGGTGTGTGGCAGTAGATGATAGTGGCAGCAAGTGTGAAGTAGTAGTAGAACAGTGTCCTCCTTAAGCCTGTTGGTTCCACTTAGGAACTCACTAACCATGGCAAATATACTGCAGATATACATAATCATTTGGGAGAGGGATGTATGATGTGTCTTTGAAACAGATCATTTCCCTAAGTTCCAAGACGAGGAAGATCCCATATCCTACCAAGAACCCATTCACATGGCTTTTCTTGCTGGTTTCCTGTCCTAACTACACCTACGAGGTAAGGTTGCCATTCAGCCTTACCACAGGATCGGAGAAGCCTGAATCTGGGAGATCCTGTGTCTTGTTTCTTGTTTACTACTTTTGCACATGAAGATTGTGGCTGGAACAGCAGTTTCTTCTTTCAGGCAGGCCGCTAATGAGCATAGATTTTCATCTGGTTATTTGCTAACTGAATGATAAGGTTTTATTCATCTAAAACTGGATGCTTGACAAAATACTGGCATCCAGTTATCATCCCCAGAATTCACCCTCTTGAAACTTCGTTGTTGCATGATAGCTGTTCTGTAAAAGTAGGTAGGGGAATAAGTTGACTTCCTCTGTCCTGTGTGACATTGCAGAAGAAATGGATAGTAAACCGTGATTTAATGTTCTCAAAATATGTGGCATCAGCACAGATACTGATTTTCCGATCCTCTGGCTTTGGCTGCTGTCCTTACTTGAGCCTTTCTATTCCCCTTTGAGTAGATGATATGTGAACTACTTCCCTCTATTCACCCATCAACCTAATTATAAGTTTATAGGTACAAAAGAGGAACTGGGCTTTGGAGTGCCGAGGGGGGCAGAGATGGTCTGCTTCCTAGCTCTGTTTTGATTAGCAAGTTCAGGAAGATCCCTTGGCAATGAGCAGGGCTGTGGCGCTCCCTCTTTTTCCTCAGTGTGAATGTCAAAGGAGGCTACTGAAGCCTTTTGCTTATTAGCCATAGCTGTGGAATACGACTCAGAAATCTTTTTATCTGCCTCACCTGCCACAACTCTGAACTGGTGTCTTCCTTGTCTTCCAGGTGGGATCCTGGATTGGATTTGCCATTATGACTCAGTGCCTTCCAGGTAAGTTCTGATTTTGGACTTTTAAAGATGTCTGGCCTTCACTATAATGAAACAAATTCACAAGTTTTGGACTTTTAAAGATGTCTGGCCTTCGCTATAATCATGAAACAAATTCACAGGGCACCAGTTCTTTCTGCCCCTCTTTAGGAAGCAGGATTGAGCCCATGTATCTACAGGAGCACAAGACTCTTGTCCCCCTGCCACACAGGAATATACTTATACCTTGGTGGAAGGCAAAACCCAAGAGTTATGTCTGTTCTCCCTCCTCCCCCTTTGTTTCTTGGAGGTGCGCACATGTTTGTGTGTCCAAAGTGTGGCTCCACTTTGGATCTACCTAACATATCAAATGATTAAGCTAAATAAAAGCTTATTAGTTTCTCTTACTGAAAGAGTAGCACTTGGATTCCCGGGAATCTGTGTCTGGCCTCAGTTTCTGCTTTTCCTAAACCCAGACGTATGCATTTCCTCATTGTATTACCTGTATCAGGCACATGCTTTTTCTGGTTCTTCTTGCCTGCAAAGATGCTGGAGCAGCTTGGAACTGCTGAGAAGTCTGGTGGTTAAACTTTGATTAGCATGCAGAATCTCTTCTGTTTAAGGCATGGGGCAGTTAGTATGGCTGCTACAGACAATGGCACAGTTGAGGTTTTTTGTGCATGTCAGAGCTGAATGACAGCACAAGCTGAGCATAGCACGTAATGAATCCAAATGAAATTGTTCAGGAAGTGGCACACCATTCTCCTTACATGTCATGAATAGATACCTGAAACTGCTTGATAGGAAGTTAGGAGACATGAGCTTGGTGGAGAGGTAGGTAAACCTGGATAGCAGGCACAGTCACTGACAATGGCTGTGATCACACGCACTAAATAATCCACTCTCAATTCACTTTCCTACTGGATTTTGCCAGTTCACACAGTAAAATTCAGTTGGAAAGCACATTGAAAGTGGATTATCTAGTGCATGTGATCGCAGCCATTGTCGCTCTGAGGTGGTTATCTCACCCTCTCTTTTAGGAAGGGGGTGAAAGCAGTCTCTTTGCACTGCAGCAGTTCCTTCTGAAGGATAAAACCCAAGGCAAATGCTGCTCTGTCATCTTAGTCAGGTGGTTGCTTTGCAACCTAGCCGGAACATATCTTCAGCACAATCTGAAGGCTGATTGGTAGAGTATCTGCTTTGCATGTATTCATCTCATGCCTATAATTTCCCATCCGTCACTTCATATAGGTAACAGAAATTAATACCCTGTTATATTTATGGGTGGGAGGAAGTAGAATGTTTAGTGCCCTGTTATGTACGCCTGCTGAAGCAGAACTCTCTCTTCTTTGCTTGCAGTGGCTCTGTTTTCCCTAGTCGGCTTTATTCAGATGACCATCTGGGCAAAGGGGAAGCACCGAAGCTACCTGAAGGAGTTCCGGGATTACCCACCGCTGCGCTCACCTATTATCCCCTTCCTGCTTTAAGATGGGGGCAGTTGCTTCTAGATCTGGGCTGGTGCCGTTTTTTAAAAAACTTTGTGAGCAGCTGTTGGGGTCTAAAGTGGGATTTTCTCTGGCTGTCTGCTCTATGATCTAAGAATGAAGCTGTACGGATTCTTTGCTTGCGTAAACTTACTGGGTCCCCCACGGCATATCTGTGTTCTTATCCCCATTTTAAAGCTTTCCTGAGCTTGGGATCTACCTTCCATGCACAGCACTGTAAAGCCAAACGCTGCAGCAGAGACCAAAGGCCCTGAGAGAGCAGTCTAAATTTGCAGCAAACCAACACCAAAACAGCTGCTGTGGATCTAATTCTGCATACATAGGTGCCGAAGGCTGAATCTAGGTAGCTGGAGCTTGACTCAAGGAGATGACTTCTGCCAGTGCAGCCTCTGGGCACCAGACCTTTGCTGTACTTCTCCTCATGCTAACAGGGGTAGCCTGCCTCTTAGCTCAGCTTTGTGCATCTCCCCAGCTAAACGCGCCCTCTTGTGGTAATTATTGGTATAGCGCATACCCAACACAGCCTGTCTCTATCTCAAAAGCGTCTGTAAGATTTTTGAGAGACCCACTATGAGGCTCTGTCTTCCTGTTTTACGCAGCATGGTCCTGTGAATCCTATGGGCCTGGCTCCCGGAACAGCAGTGGTACTTGCAGCCCAAATCTTAAAGCAGCTCCACTGAGATGGTAGGAGCAACTTCAGTGTAGTCCGGATTGCACATGGGAGGCATTAAGCTGCAAACCTGGGGCAAGGGAGATGGCAAGAGACTCCTGTGCTAGGATTATGTTCTGGGAGCAGCTGGGGCTGTCCTTCCACTCAGCATGCAAGCTGGCAGTATTAGTTTTAAGTGGAAATGCCTCCCTTTGAACTCCACTCAGCACTGAGAGAAAATATTAGTTTTAAGTGGAAATGCCTCCCTTTTTTTAGCAAATGAACTCCACTCAGCACTGAGAGAAATTCCTGTCTTTCTCCCTGTCCCAACATGCTAAGCAGAAGTTGTTCTTTAAACTTACCCAGCTGTAGAAAACGGTGGCTGCAAAGTAGGCTGGGCTTTGGTCTGCTGGCAGAGGAGGGTATTGAGGTGAGCGGCTGAAGGACAAGACTTTCCACATAAGCTACTATTCTGTGGCAGTTGCATCATGCATTTTCTCCAACCTCAGTCCAGACCCTTGAATCACTCCTACTTACAGAAGGTTTTAATAGCAGCCCTGATGCCACGTGTAGCGAAAGTTACATCCTCACTTGACACTGTAAATAGGGGTGGAGGGGGGACTGGTTTGAAACAATGGTTGAAGCTTCATTTAATCACCAGAAAAGGCTCTGACTGTTGCTTACAGTGTTAAAAAGGAGACCTCCCTGAGAGAAATCTGCTTTTGCCCGTTTTGTCTTAATGTTATAAAGATTGCAATCCTGTTCACACTTACATGGGGGGGGGGAAGCCCTGTTGAACTCATTAAGGCTCACTTTTAAGTAACATGGACAGGAGCAGGCTGAAAGTTTGCTATCGTCTTAGTTTATGCTGCATGTGAGCAGTAGGATACTGGAAACCTGCTAGGCAGCTGTTTAAATGAGCCACTGACTTGCTATGGTCTGTTTCATGTGGAATTTGTCTTCTGTGTCAGAACTACACCAATAAAAGTAATTGAACCCATTGTTTGTAAAGAGCAGCTTGGAATCACAGGAATGAAGGACTTGCCTTGTATGGTGGAAGGGCTTCATGGTGGGGCATCAAGAGAAGATGCTTAACATATGGCTATCCTATCTGGAGCATATATAACATGCTAAAAAGTAGATTACCAAGAAATGGCTACTGTTTAATTCTTCAGCCAATGCTGAAATTATACCAAGTTATAATGCTGGCCACATGACCACAGAAACGTCTTCGGACAGCGCTGGCTCTTCGGCTTTGAAACGGAGATGAGCACTGCAACCCTAGAGTCGGATTCGACTGGCTTTCGAGCAAGGGAACCTTTACCTTTACCTATAATGCTACTATGCAAGTTTTTTGAAGGCTTCTCATACCTTTCATTTGAGAATTTTACTTTCAGTAGTTCAAGAACTGCCTTACTGGACTAAGGGGGCAGCAAAATGCCTTAGAAGGTCACATACAAGGTAGGAGAATGGTGGCCATTTTCACATGTTTGCCCCTAAGCAGTGGCTGATCAAGAAATATCACAGCAGTTTCTATTTAGGCAACATAACTAATAGCGATTTGTAGTTCTTCTATGAATATTTTCAAAAAGCTAGGGGGACATCACATCATTTGGTAGCAGTATTCATGTGCTGTTCATTATCCTAAGAAGAAAGTGTAAATATTAAAAAACACATTTTCATTAAATGTGGCATAGTGAATAAGCTACAAGGCACAAGAGCTTAATGGAGAGGCAAAGAAACTCCAGATGGCCTTTAACTTAGCCAGCAGAAAAGGTCTCTTGCATTTTCTTAGCTCTGATGGAAGGAAACAAAGGC